ATCACATTAAGTCAAAATTTTATATAGATGTAACTATATAATAAAAACCTCACTATAAGCACTTCTCTTTATAATCATATCATTTGATAATCCTGAAGGGTGTGATTATAGAGAGGGACAACTGTATATATTTTTTTATTTTTTAATTTGTAATTTTATTTTTTTTTCTATTTTTTTAATTTGTAATTTTTTTTTAATTCGTTTTTTATATTATTAATTTTCTATATTTTCCTTTTTTTCGTTTTTTTTTATTTAATTTTTTTTTTAATTCGTTTTTTACATTGTTAATTTTTTTTTTTATATTTTCATTTATTAATTTTCGATATATATATATATATATATATCTTTAATTCCTTTTTTAAATAGGTAAGTGTTTTATTTCTTTTTATTTATTTTTCTTTTGTTTTATTAATTTTCAATAATTAACTTTTTTTTTTAATTAAATTTTCATTTTTTTATTAATAATATCTAACGTAAAGACTGAAATCATAAGGTAATAAATATTTATTTAATTTAAATTTTTTTTATTTAATTTTTTTATTTAATTTTTTTTTTTATTATATAGAGAATTCTCTTTAAGTCTTTAAGGTTAGTCTTCTAAGGCTTCTTCAGAGGGTTCTTCAAAATGTTTATTTTTTTTTACTTATTAATATTTCTCCTTTTTTTAGGAATGGATCTTTTGTTTCCTTAGAATATGTAAGTCTTCTTTTAGATAGATTTTTCATTATTTCTTCATTTTTCTAACTTTTTTCATTTTTTTAAAAATGAGATCTTTCGTTTTCGTTGAAAAAAATAAATCTTCTTTCTGGGATTCTTTAAGTAGATTTCGTTATTTTACCCTTTCTTTTTTTAAGAATGGTCTTTTGTTCTTTTCGGATAAGGTAAGTCTTTCAGGTGATTTTTTAAGGGATTCTTTTTAGGATAATTCTTCTTTTTTACTAACTCACTCTCTTTTTTTTAGGAGCAGATCTTTTGTTCTTACCAAAATAAGGAAATAGGAAACTCTGCCAGCTAAAAGACAGTAATAGTAAAACTTCTACTTCTCAAATTTGAACTAAAGAAAAATTATCAGATACTCCTTATTATTTTTATTCAGATAAATAAGTCTTCATTTGGGGGTTCTTTAAGAAATTCATTATTTTTACTAATCTTTTTCTTTTTTTTTTAGGAGTGGACATGAATTTTATCTGCTAAATAGAAGAAATTTTATTTTGGTATATATAAAAAAGTTCTTTAAAAACAGTTCTTTCTCTTAAATAGGTTGGATTCTTTAAGGGCTTCTTTTAATAGTAAATTTTTTTTTTTTTACTTTCTTTACTTTCTTTTCAAATAAATTCTTTAAATTTTTTTTCTGTCTTTGGAATTTAACAAAAAAAAAAAATAAATAAATTCGTTTTATTACTTTGTAATTACGATTCTTATGTTAGTTATTATAAAAAGAAATGAAAATTTAAATTAATTTATATAATTTCATATATTTTTTTGCAAGTTCAATGATAAAAAATTTCATTTGATTTTATTGAATAAAAATGTGTCACGTGATAATATGCTTCTAAACTTCCAATAAAAATTTATTAAAATTGAAAGTATGATTGGAATTGGAAGATTTGGAAGTTCAAATGTGCTTCCAGCTTCCAATACACATTACTACGCATGCCGATAAAATTCTTACCAAAGAATAAAGGCTGTGTAACGTATAAATTGCATATATATTCGCATTTTTTTTCTAATGCATTTATTTTTCATATTATTTTTCCTAGCAATCATATGAGATTTGGGGATTCGTATGCTCCTTCGTTATTTTTATTAATTTGCAAGAAGGATTAATGAAATGATAAATGTAATACATAATTCAGAGATCATCTATTTCTGCGAATTTTATAATGTTATAAAACGGGCTAGATTTTGACATGATAGTATCTTGATACTTTTTAGTCTTTCGCATTTTTAAGGTATGTTGATATTTGTATAAAATTATTTCAAAATATTTATTGTTAATAATATCATGTCTATGTCAGATCTTATTAACTGTTTCTGCTACAATGATAAAACAAGGCAGTTTTTCATATTTTAATGATAACACTGATACCAAGAGCCTTTATAATGTTCGAAACATCAGAGTGCGTATTGAGAGAATGACTAGTGAAGTTGCAAGAATATATTTTGTAAATGATGCTGGTAATCTAATTAATAACATTCCACCTGGTATGACATTCCATAATATAACACTCAATCAAGTTGTGCAATATATGCTAATCGATATAATCAACTATGCAAAATATTATATTATACTTTGAACATATAGTTATGAGTTGCAGTATAATGGCCATAGGGTTTATCGGTTGGATAATCAAAGACAACAAGCAATAAATATTTCTTAAAATAATAAGAAGTATGATATGCAAGAGAAATAACTAGACTATATCTATTAGTTAGGATAAATTTCAACATATATCCAGTTAGCTATGCTAACCTAAATTTGTATTTATTTTTTGTGTGTTATATCACGCTACCATTGTATTAATAAAAATTTATTCTTGGCAAAAGTTCCTGACCAATGAAAAATATAAAGAAAAAAAAGTATAGGGAATAATATAAAGGGTAAATATTGTGAAGAATGAACTTATCATCTCAAATGCCAGAATGCTTTTCAGCATAAAATTCCAATAGTAAATGTAAAGTATAAACAAAAAATTCATCGATCACCTGAAATGCGTAATACAATCTATTATGCACAATAAAATATCTATACTTCTTCGCTCATATGTGAATTATATCAATACAATTAGTATTGGGCATGTGATTTACTACGCTATTTTTTATGTAGACCGCAGTCATTTATTTTTATTAATAAACCGTCAAGAGAATTATTCTTGTGTTGTTTTCGTTATAAACTTTCCCAAATGTTCTATTTCTCTCACCACAGTTTTGAATTACTAATATTCCCGCTGATCATAAGACAGGGCATCATAAAAAAGAATCAAAAATGGATTAGAATCAATGATTTACAGATCCTTAAAGGCTCATCCAAATTACGTGTATATGATAATCACTCATATGCAATGAACAATTATTCTGATAATTTTCCTTTTTTGATATAATCAATTGAAAAGGGGAATGAGAACAATTAAACTTCCTATTCTTGAGTACTAGGAATAAATAGTAAATTTTGAGATATAGTGTTACTCTATTAGTATTAAATTATTTATCATAAAACTGCTATTCACAAGCAGATTTTCATTTAAGCATTATTATTAAATGCGCATTTTACACATATTATAAATCTTTGAATTAGTATTACGCAAGTCAATCTGATATCCCTGATGTTAGAATGAGATAAGAATAGAATTGAGCAACTTGTTCGACTGATTTACAGATCTCGACCCCCTTTTTTTTCATATAATTCAAAAAAGAAATGTGATGCGAAGTAATACACTTTCAGAGTTTTAGAAAAATCGACTGTCATACTAATAGGGGTTTACATATTATACATTTCGTATATTCTCCTTATATTGTATGTTAGAATAAAAATAGAAATTAGGCGTTTGAATCAAGAATAAATGGTAGATTTATTTTCTCTATTAGCATTAGCTTAATATTACGCGTACTATAGATGAAGGACGAAACCCCTTAATAACAGTCGAAACTTAGACGAAACTATATTAAAATCATAATAAGGGATACGACGAAACCCATTTGATACGACGAAAGCCGAAACTGTCGAAACTATATTAAAAACATAGAAAAGGGTATGACGAAATTATTTTGAGAAGGTTTCGGCAGGCATCTATAACGCGTACTCATTATTCTATTTTTGGTAATAACTTCTAATATAAAATTAGGTATTTCGAAGATAGTATGAATATTATTACATTGATCAGTTTCTCTAAAATATCAGATTTTCTTTTAAGCACTATTATTATAATTCAGGAGAGAGACATTTGTTATTATTAGACGGGATCCAGGCCATGGCTTTAGATGAAAAAAAATATAATTATGAAAAATGTAGTTATGACGAATACATATAATAAAGCAACGTAATTTTTTATTTGATCTATTTAAATTGGTTAAATTCTCTTTTCGCACGTAGTAGGCATACAGTATAGAATAAACCTTTTTCCCAGCACATTTATGCAAGAAATTGTATATTAAAAAAAGTATATCTAAAAAACTTGATCTACCAATAATATCTCTTAATAAAATTACTACTCCTAATCATGTCCAGTTTATCATTGCTCAACTCTTCAGGAGTCATGTCTTTTTTGACCTTAACCGCTGTTTTTTTTGTTCATTAGTCCAGTGTTAATCATAGGGATCGCTACTATGTGATCAAATCTTAAACAAAAAATTTCTAATGAACTTTCTGCATGTGTCACTAGAATCATCAATGATCTTGATACACCAGAAATTGAAAACATCTTCAGTAAACTTACCACGAAAATTAATACCAAAATCTCTAATGAAATCACCACACGTCTTTCTGAAATTAATGTATTTTTCACTGCGAAGCTCAGCAGAATGAATACTGAGCTTAATAATAAACTCACCGCAGAAATTGAAATTTTTAAGGCACGTGATATTGGCTACGTTAAAGAAATACAGAAAATTTTTGCGAGACTTTTTAATATTGAAGAAGCTCGTCAAAATGATTTTGACAGAATTACATCTCTAGAGAAATCCATTATTGCTAGTATAGATAATCTCCATAATAAAATAAGGCAATATTATGCAGAGATTTGAAGTTGTGATTTGACTAATATATTGAGTCCAATAAATCTGAAACTTCAAATCGATCACATGAAAGTGATAATTCTACTAGCTCTTTATCCGGTTTATTCAATTTATCTCTTGAAGAAAATAAGAATCATTTTAAGAGAATTTTCAATAAAACTAAAGCTTTGAATCAGTTACGTAAATTCTACTCCATTATCCAGTTCATCCAATTCATCTTTAGATAAAAATAGGAACCATTTTAAAAGAGTTTTTGATTCAAATAAGGAAGTAGGAAAGACTAATGACTATGCATTTGAAACTGTGACTATGCGTTTGAAACTGTGAGATGTGGAATTTGATATTTTATTAGAAAAAAAATTGGAAAGAGTACTGTAAAAAATTTTTATTATAGTAAAGGGAATCCAAAATTTAGCACAGTAGTGTCAATTATGAGATGGGTAGATGATAAGGAAATTAGTAATAGTTTAAATAAAAATAATGTAAGTAACACAAATAATAATAATGAAAATAATATGAGGTAGTGAAAAGAAACCACCTTTTACAGTCTAGGGCTGGCAGAAAACATGATATTATTTTATTTCGTGTTTTATTCCTCCCTTTAAACGAGATCTACTCTAATATCTTTTATTAGTTTCATTTTTTTACTTAACCGGTCAACCATTTATCACGTATTATTTTACAAAATTATAATAAAGATTTTACTTTGAATTTTTTGAACGTGTTTCACATTTTACAAGTAATATTTATTTATTAATTATATTTGCTTATTAATACAGCTATAATTGTAAAAACAAACAGCTAGAATATTAAAATACTATTCTACAGTTGCTAAGCGCTATACATATATATTAATAAAAAATATTCTATTTCCTATTGTTCTTCCGAACTGCTTCCTTTGCCACCATAATTAATTGTTACATTAATTACAGTTGCATTTTGAGAGAATGAGGAGATTGTAAGAGTGACAGGTCTGCTTAAAGCACTTCTGGCAGAAACAACAGGAGTCTTAATAGAAGGCATTACTGGTCTTGATAATTTGGTTTGTTTAGCGAAAGAAGTATCAGACCCTATTTCAAAAGGACCAGGTGTTGAGAGTGTTGGTTAGATAATTATATTAGATAATGTCATAGAACGTTGTAATCCTAGAAACAATAAATATTTTTTCTCACTTTAGTTTGAAAAAAAAAAACTAACAGGATAGGCTATCTTCTGAAAGTCTTGACTGAAGGAGGAATAAATACCAGAAACTTTTCAAAATTTTGTGGAAAACTCTTTGTAATAATGTTTTCCAACAAGACTTCTCTTATTTTTGACATTTGCCTTACCCCTCATTAGTTTCAGTATTAGCTTCTGCTACAGCTTTCTTATAGGCCTGGATTGTCTATATTTACTAAAAATATCAGATCAGAGTTAAATATATACAAAGCGCTCAATTATCTACTTACATAGTATGTTTGAGTTAGAGCTAAGAATTTCTTGTTACAATCTTCCCAGTGAAGTAATTTGTATTATTTGCTTGATTAATATTCTCTGCAATCCTCTTTTAGAAGTTTCTCTTATCACGATTAGGGATTCAGTAATATTCTTCATTACTATTTTTATGTTCATCAATTAACATGCGGGTTTGTTTCTTACTCTACTGTGTGGACATTTTTAAGTTTATGAGGAATGAAGAGCAAAAAAGACTTGCTTATATAGGACATGATTAAAGCTGAGTAAAACTAAATTAGCTTCGCATATAGTTAGCGCTTTAATTTTTGTAATAATTAATTGAAAAATAATGGTGGCTTAGTTACTACGCAAAATATGATTGACAATGCCGATCCATAACACATCTCGTGATTTGAGTTGCAGAGAAGTTGCGAGGAAGTGCTAGAATCTGACTGGGAGCTAGAGTGATACAGAATTTTTATGTTACATCATATTTGGCTAATTCCTATTAATCACGAGAGATCTATATACAGTCCCTTGACTAAGTCAAGTATAAATATAAAATTAGTATATAAACCCTATATAAATCCTGATATGCTTGTAATCGAATAAAAATGAATCTGGTATTTTATTATAATATACTTGCTATAAATCACTATAAGTCATTAAAATTGCTAAAAATGTTATAAATTACTAAACTGCTATCCTATATCTGTAAAATGGCTAAATTTAATGATTTGAGTCCTGTAGTAGTGTAGGCGTAAAATAACCTACAATATAGGTATAATGGTGAAATACCAGAAATATGATGTTCTCGTATTCATTCTCCATTTAAGAAACTTCTTAAATATAATCCAAAATACTTTTCAAAAAATGGATTTATTCAAATAGTTGAAATGGAATATATAGATGGAAAATTTAAAGCTGGAAGACGCTCATTAATATTTATTGTACTGTATGTGACTCCTTAGTAATTATTCATGAAAATACCATTGAATATGCTAATGATCACTTGAATAAATGTACAGTCAACTCTTGTTATAGCGAACTCTTGATATAACGAATTTTTTGAACAAATATAATAAAAATACTCTTGTTATAGCGAATTGGCCAATCAAATCTCTTAAAATCTTCACTATAGCCTTATAGTGAAGTTGAGGTCTAGGACATAGAGTTCGTTATAACAAGAGTTGACTGTATTATTTTTCCTTCCTCTTCAGTTTTTTTTATTTATTTATTTTTTTATTTTAATATTTTATTTTTTTTTATTTTTTAATTATTTTTTTTTAATTTTTCATTTAATTTTTAATTAAATTTTTTAATTATTATTTTATTTTTTATTATATTTTATTTTAATTTTTTAATTTAAATTTTATACCTTTTTGAATATTTTTCATTAGTTTGATTTAATAAAATAATATATAAACTTACAATATAATATAATTTAAAATAAATTTTTATATTTAAATATTTATAAGTTAATTTAAATTAGATTCAAAACTTAATTTGAACTTGATTTGTCTTAAATAAATTCAAGTCAAAATTGAGTCAAATTAAAATTAAATCAAGTCAGATTGAGTTAAATTTAAAATTTATATAACTCAAATCAAATCAAGTTAAAAGATTTATAAAATAAATTTAACTCAACTCAACTTAAAAAAAATGTTAAAATAAATTGGTCTTCAAATTTGACTTGACTTGACTCATTCAAAATTCTAATAGTATTTTTTTTTAAATTATTTACTTAATGATTATTTAATATAAATAAGATTAGATTTTACTGAAAATTGAAACCAAATCATATTCTTTATTAGAATAAATAAAAATTAATATTTTATTTAATATAAATTAATATAAATAATTATATAAAAATTAAAATAATATTTATATTAATTTTAGATAAAAAATAATTTAAAGAATATATTACTACAGTTAAAGCTCGTTATAGTGAACTCTTAGTTTCATTCAATTTGTTTATTATAACAAAGTATTCACAATAGCGAAAAATCTCTTTATAGTGAATTTTATATAATAAAAAAAAAATTCTTATAACGCAATTTTTTTAAAATTTTTTTATTTCAAAAATTTAACATTACACAAAATTATTTAATATAGTTTGCTTCATATTATCTTGAATATATCTATTAATTTTTGATTTTAAAGCATTAAGAACTTTTAACTCTATATAATTAATTGATATATTATCAGAAGAATTTTTAAAATATTGAATTACCTTTTTTAAATTATTTAAAGCTTCTTTGTTAATAATAATATTAATTTCTGCTGGTTCTTTCTCCTCTTCTATATTATTTTTTTCAGAATTTGAAATTACCGCATCTATTATTTTTTCATCTAATAATGGTCTTATTAGTATTTTATTATCAATATGAATAAATTTTTTAGCTGCAATAGGATCTCGTAAATTTAGTGCATCAATCATATTTATAATTCTGAAGTAATTTTATCAATTTCTTGATCCCAGTCCAAATTGTTTTCTTCAGAGTTGCTACTTTCAGAGTCATATTCTTCATAATCAGGTAAAATACCTGTTTTTTCTAATATCGTTCAATTGTACTTAGTTTTACAATTTTTTATGCTTCATTAACAAATATTATAGCATCAAGGATATCAACTAGTATTATATCAAAATCATTTATTTAAGTTAAATCATATACTTCTACTCTGTTTACAACTAATAACTTTCTGTATTAAGCCTAAAAAAATAAATATATAATAAGTAAAATTATTTTAAAAATAATAATTTAATAACAATTTATACTTACTTTAAAACTATTAATAATACTAGCATCTAAGAATTGTAGATAAACAGTTGTATTCAGAGAGGAAATGCACTTTAATGTTTAATAATAAAATAATTTCATCTATTAAATGAATTGACGTATTATCAGTTAATAATAATATCTTACAATTTTGTTATCTTATTAATTGGTTAAGTTTATTTAGGTAATCACGTCACACTGATACTTACATTCAAACTGTACGATTTTAGTAATACTAGATAGGCAGATCATTCTTTTTGATTTCTTTTAAAACACGTGAAGTTTACCACTTATGTATCACTAAAGTAGGTAATTTGTGATTTCTATCAGCATTATAGGTTAAAATAACTGTGATACAATTCTTTAATTTTTTAGTACCAGAAATTTAATGATCTGAAAGTGTCTTTGATAATTTTAAATTTCAGAATAAAGCTAAAAATATATAAATAAAATTGTAAATTTTTTGTAAAAAAAATAAAATAAAATTGTATTTATTTTAATATATTTACCTATTTCATCAATATTATAAATATTGCAAAGATCATATTATTCTATAACTTCTTGCAAAATCTTACGTTCTTCTTCTAATGTTTCTAATGATGTATTATTTGCTTTTCTAGTTTTATTAATTTGTCTTATATTATACAGTTTTAAATTTTGCTAGTCATCCATCTGAAGCAATAAAGGATGTTATTTGTAGTCTAGCTGTAAAATTCAAAGTTTTAGCTTTTAAAACATTCCCTATAATAGTTAAGTTCAAAGCTAATACTTGCTGCATCTACAAATATAATACAGATTCAATTTCTAGAAATTTAGCACTCTATCCCGTTTTTGATTTTAACTTTCTTATTTGAAATATCAATAGATAATTATTTTTCCTTTTCTTTTAATATATTACAAACTTGCGACTTTGATATATCAAATTTTTTAGCAAGATCTTTTTGGTTATATGACAGATTATCTTTTTGCTACTCACATAACCCTTTTTTCTCTGCATATGATAAGCTTTTTCTTTTTCTATTCTGTTTACTTTTTTTTTTCTCTTCTAATGGGTGGCATTTTGAGAAAAAAACTGTGTTACCATAGATAAAACTATAAAAAAATGTGTTACAATAGATAAAAAAATGTATTATGATATATGATCTACAAATACTATGTATATTACGTGATATTTATTATAGCGCATATAAATTTATAATATATGTTCTGCATTTAAATTTTTAATATATTCACTATATCTAATATCGAGATTTTATTATTAAATTTACTATAATGAATAGAATTTTATATAGAATATATTAGGGAAATAAAACAAGTTTATTATAAGCTAAATTCACTATAACAAGATTCATTATAATGAGTTTTAACTGTATTGCATTATTTATAATATTTTAGAAATTAAAAAAGTTAAAATAGTTTTATTGAAAAATTAAATTTATGTACTTTAAAATATATCCTAAAATCATTATTATATATATATTATTATTAAAATAAAATAATATATATATAAATTAGTATTTAAAATGATTGATTAAAATATTTGATATATGACTAAGATTTATTATTTTATTTTATAATAATATATCAATTTATATTTTATAAAAAGATATTTTACTTTCTAATATTTATCTTTATAAATTATCTTCTAATATAATTATATATTATTAACTATATAATATTAAATTATAAGATATTTCAAAATAAATTTTTTAATAAAAATTTATATATAAAAAAAAATAAATCAATTTATCAAAATAATTTATTAATAAATATAAATACAATTAAAAGTATATTAAAGTATTTGATAATTAAATAACTAATCAATTTATACATAAAATTATAATATATAAGATAATTAAATATGTAATAAAAGTATAAAATATAATTTAATTAGAAAAAATAAATATTTATTTTTTAAATATTAAAAATAATGAAAATATTAATTTAATAAATCTTATTGAATATAATAAAATCAATAAAATACAAAAATTTTATTGATTAATTACTCCTAATATATACAAAAATCTAATTTTTGCTAAAGAATATTTATATTATAAAAAGAAGAAATAATTTATTAGTATCTGATAAAAATTTATATAATTAAGTTAAAATCTTTTTTTATCAGTAATATAAAGTATTACAGAAATAAATTAACTAATGATATATACAATAACAGTATATAAAACAAAATGTAATAAAATAGATTTTTTAAAGATCAAATTCAAATAATAAAAGAATTATAAAAAGTAATAAAATGGAAAGAATTCAGTTTCAAACAGTAAGTTACATTGAATTTCTATTTAAAAAATATGAATAATTTTAATAAATATAGTATATTTGATGAAGATAATATTTTTTAAAAAAATTTATAATTGCTTACTGAATTATGATATTTATATTTAGTATTATTTTACTAAAGATATAAAAGAATTATCTGAAATAAAATTTAAATGATATAAAAAATTATTGATTTAACCTCAACTAAATGTAAACTTTATCTGATCTAATCATTTTTTAAATTTGATATTTTATAATCATATAATTAAAAATTATAAGTTTAAAGTTTAAATAATTAAATTTGCATGTGTAGTATATTACAAATTAAACTTCAAATAATTAAAAAGTTTCAAATTTAAAAGGAATAACTAAATAAAGTGACGCATTAGGTAATTCAAGTTTTGTAAATAAAGGTTGAATAATTTGATATTTTTTTTTGCTTTACTTCTTTTGCTTTATTGCTTTTTTTTTTATAAACATTTATAATATTTTTTTCATTTTTAATAATTTATATTGCATTTATAATATTTATAATATACTGTATATAAATATTTTAATTTAATAAAAATTTTAATTTCTGATAAAAAGTAATTTAGAATTATGTATAACGAATAAACTTATAAAATCTGGTAAAAAATTACCGAATTTTTCATTATAATGAATTTTAACTTCCAAAAATCGAGATTCGTTATGGAGAGCTTCAACTGTATTCTATACATAAAAAAACTTATACAGCTTACATACAAAAAATAATTGTTAAAAATTTGAATATATAATGTTATAAAATATTAATGATTAAATATTATTGTTATATTTCAATATATTTTAAAATGCAAGTTTTTATTAAAATTGATGTGATAATATTTTAAAAATAACAGAATTATGTTAGTAGATCTAATTATAAATTCTCCATTACCGAATAATTAATATTTTTAACAGAAAACATAACCTGAAAAAAATAATTGTTTTCGATATATGCAGTTAGTCTTTTGAAGATCATTTGACAGGTTGTCACGGTGCCAGATTGTTAGGATGCCAGGTTGGCAGGGTGTCAAAATGGCAGGATGCCAGGCTGTCCTGATAATTAATTTTTATAAATACGAGCTGGGATCCTTAACCAGCTCAACATACCACACTCGCCCTTCTTGTATTTGCATACATACACCTTAAAAAGACCTTTCTTTATACCTTCGCGATATTTTTCGCTTTCACCGTTTTAATATTATAATTTCATATTTGTAATTTTGTTTATTTTTAACTTCCGATTTTTCTCATAATTTATTACACAAGTTTTCGTAATTGCGCAAGTTTTAATTAATTTGAGTATTATTGATTGGCTTTTATTTAGTTTAATATATTTACATTGCGAAAGTGTAGAGCGCCGACGTTGAAGCAACACTCATAAATTTGATATTATTAATAAATTTAGCGTCAAGATTACTTCTTTTACTCAATTAAACCTTCTGCTTACATTTAAAATTGTTATAAATACATAAACGAAATTACACAACTACTACAATTTGCAATTTTTAATCGAGCTTTTATTAAGGTTAGCGGATTGACAGAATACATCACAAATTGCCAATCAAATTCAGTAAATTTTTTTTATAACTGAACAAGGTTTATGTTTTTTTTTGTTAAATAGCGTATTAATTTTGATTTGTTGTTACATTATCCAATAATAATTATTTTTTTCAAAAATTGTAATTTTGTTTTTCTAAAGACTTTGGGACGAACAAAAATATGGTATGGACATTTCATTTTCTGAAGCACTTAAGTAAGGATTTTTTTATTCACATTCGATGTGTATGTCTTAGTCATCTCGTAGATGCATTCTCGCAATCGGTAACACCGGAAATGGCAAAAGCTTTACAGCAACCATTTTTGGGGCGAAAAATGTGAAAATCGGACATTCAACCAAGTCCGAAACTGATACAATTTCGATTCATAATACTAAAGATGGAGATTTCTACATTGACACACCTGGGTTTGATGATTCTAACGAACATAAGGACGATGAACAAACTAAACGCTCTATTTTTTTTAAGATGATGGAAGCGGGAATTGAGAATATAACAACAATATTGTGGTTCGTGGCACCTGATGACAGAGCGAAAGCTTCATACAAACGTCAAGCAAAATTTATAGAATCTTTGGGGAAATATTATAACGGAAATGCGTGGGATAATACCATCATTGTAACTAAAGGTGCCAATGATACAAGTAGTGCTGGCCCTCATGATGCTGCTAAAGAAATGGCCACCTCACTTTCAAGAACTGGCTCTTTTAAAATTTTATTATTTGAAAGTTTACCGCCTACTAGTATTTATATTAAGGCGAAACTCCCAAGTGATGAATTGAATGACTTTGGTGTTTTTAAAGGGTCGGAACCGGAACGAATCCTTGCTAAGTATGAATCATTAATGGAAGGACATGTCGACCGTCCGATACTTCTCAAAATTAGAAAAGTCAAGTGTTTGAAATGTCCCGAAGAAACCGATCCAAGGTTAGCATCGCCCAAGTGTCATTTGGATTTGGAATCGTTCCATCCCAATACAGAGCGTATTCATCAAGGAAATGTTATAGATATACATCCGGCTCAACTTTTTCATAAACACTCTGATCTCTATGTTGGAGCTAGTACTAGACAAGTGTTTGATGATAGTCCCCAAGCTTGGACCGTTCGTGTCGTTACTTTTGGAGGAATAAATCCTGATAGACCCGAGTTCGTACCTGGATACTGGAAGTGCTGCAATAATAACGATGCTAATGCACCTGGATGCAAGCAAATTTATAGTTGTTGCGGAAAAGATTATCAAACTTTTGGATGTGAAAAAATTTACGATGTGTGTAAACACAAAGTTTGGGAAACTCCTTGTTTTATAATCTGTGAAAACTGTAAGAAACGTTTGGATGAAGTTGGTTGCAAAAATAGGTGCAAGAATTGCAAAAATGATAACTCACTTAGTAGAGAAGGTTGTATCGAAGTATCACATAATTTTCCTTAGTTTTTTTTTAATATGAAATAGATAGTTAATTTATTACAACTATCGTACATTAAACGTTTTGATTTGTGAATTCAATAAATTTTATAACGAGTGTAATTAAAAATTACATTAATCTGGCATTATTTGATCAATCTATTAGTAATCGATATATGCTTAAATAAAATTTTGAATCCTTCTGTTAAACATAATGGTAGTGATATTATGGTATGGATAGCAATTTGTTATATTTTATTCACTTAAAGTTTCATAATTAATCTTACAAATATCAATATAACAATGCTCAGTTAAGATGTTAAAACATGGACTATAGTAAGATATCACCAATAGCCCAATCATCAGATTTAAATCCCATTGGGCATCTTTGGAGGAAAGTTATTTAAATTAATTGATAGTATGCTTCAGAGAGTAGAAACCTATATTACTAATAATAGCTGGCCAATAAATTATTAATTTTAATAAATAATTCTTTATTGAGTAAATTTATTTAACCCCCCCCCCCTGCGGTGGTACCGCACCCATGAGATCACGTGATATTATATGAGGTCATGTGACTTTATTATAATCAATTATTAAGACATAATAAACTAATTATTTTTATCAGGGCATTTAGGAGCATAATGTCCTATTTTATGACATAAACCACATTTGCATCCAGCCAAATTTTTACCATCATCTTATACATTTTTATTTTGTACTCTAGTATTTGCTTTATTTTTCTCTTCATTATAACTTTTTAATCGTTTGATAGCAGGTCTACCTTTACAATTATATTTTATTGGAGCTTTAACATCATCGATATTATAAATACATTTATTAGATAACTTTATCTCATTATTCCTATATTCTTTAAGAACATTTCCTATTTCCAATAGTATCTTAGCTTATCGTTTTGCTTGTTATTCAGAAATGTAATCTAAAATAATATCATCTAAATTTTTTTGATCATTATCTTCTAATGAATAATCTAAAGCCTTCTTAAAATGCCTCATAAGTTGACTATAATCAATTTTCTTTTAAATATAATGTTAAGTTTGAACTTCTTAAATATTATTGTAATGCATAGAAACAAAATCAGGTTTTCTAGTTATATCATTATCCTAAAACTGTTTTAAATTTTTGGATGATGTTTTAATAAATAGTTTCTTATAAATAAAATTAACCTAATTCCATATATCATCTTTAAGCCATCTTATTGGTATTAATAATATATGAAATATTGCATTCGAATTTTCGATCATCAACTTAAAATAATGCTGACAAATGATTTTATACAAAACTAATAACAAATATATACATAAATAGGTACCATCTTCAAGAATAATGATATGCTAATATGATTTTGAAATCATATAAGAAATAATTTTTCAGATTTTTTTAATTGATTTTTCTAAAACTGAATTTAATAATGCTTTTAAATATGTTTGCTGATAATCGTAATGATCTTTAATATTATTAATTTTCTTTTTCTGATTATTTCTCATTGTTTGAATTTTAAGATTCTCCTCTTGATCCTAAAATATAATAAAATTAGGTGACAATTAATATAACAATCTTCAATCTGATATAATTTTTGAATTCTAACCCTAATTCCAATTGTAATATCACTGATTCTAAATTAACTATCTATAATATAAACTAATTCTGATATTTTAACTCTAACTAATATTATCTAATCCTAAAATTTGAAATATGCCTTTTATCTACAATTATTATTATTAATGAAAAAAATGGATAATCAAATTAAAAGCTAAGTATTAAAAAATTAACTTACTAATTGATTCTTATTAAACTTGTATATGTTAACCTTTTTGCATCTATAAAGTACGAACTTACACATTTGTTTATGAACTTCTTCAATAATATGTGAAAAAAAATGCTTTTAATTAAACTATTAAATTACTAAAAAATTATTCACAATAAATGATTGATAATATATCATTGATCTATACTTCTATGCTATAAAACTTTTATTCATTGCCTCTTTTTGTATTTGAAAGTCTAAAACTTTAACTACATCAACCATAGTTGAACTAAAAAAACAGCCTTATAAATAATTGTATTAATAGATTCAACACATTGTATTGATTGCATGCCAGCTGTAAAAATTCAACTTGTAAATATCCAAGCCTACAAATATTGAATTGGATAAATTGTATTACATAAATAATCATTACTATTAGAAAAGATTTTTAACAAAGCTTAAAATCATTGCTTAAAAACCTTTGAATTTAATAAATTATGCATTATCTAAAAATCTTTAACAAATGTTTTAAAATCTGCAATTCTAAGCTTATATTTAAGACATTTAGGTAATTTTTAAGACATATGGGTTGATTGCTAAAAAAATCAGGTTCTAAGAATTTTTTAGCAAAATTGAGATTTTTATTGCATTTTAGTTTTTGATGTTATTAGATTAAAATTTATTAAGCTCTTAATTTTAGTCAAAAATTTTTCAGAACCTGATTTTTCTAGAAACACTTCTATATGTCAAATGTAATGAATATGGTATGTATTTTTATATATTTTTGATATACAGCATTCATTGCAAGATCTATATCAGTCATTATAACCTGAAATTTTAAACCCATCACATTTAATATTTGCTGCAAAATTCATTCATAACTTTCTTGAGTTTTATTATTTAAAAAGCTTATACCCCCAAATATAATTTATCATCATTATTAACAAATATAAATAATAATAAAGGATAACTATATTTGTTTATTCTTGAAGTTGTAAGATAACATCAGAATAGCAAGACTATAATAAAATTTGATTTGATATTATCTAAAATATATCACAAAGTCTATCACTATCTGCATTGATTAATAATTGTATAAATATCGTAGGGTCTTCTTTTTACTGTTTAAGAAGAAATTTTAACAAATGAGAAGTATCTGATCTAATAATTTGATTATCACATTTGATTTTCTGAATAGTATTTGATAGATCTTGAGTAAGGAAAAGTTGATCAGGAAATAATAGTTGCAATAAATTTTGTATAGTATATGCATTATAACAATTATATACAACTACATGCTCAATTTCTTCTATTATAGAATTATTAAACCTTCAAAATTTTGTAGTGATTCTTGCATTATCAGAAGTAATTCATGATTATGATTAGAATATATAAAGGTTAAATGTACTAAATCATTATTTTTGTGTTTGCTTAAATTAACATATCATTTACAGTCAGTTTTTTTTGATTTTTTATTATGTTGATACTTAATTATTTTTGTATCATGAAATTTATATTTTCCAAAATACTCGCATACGTGAATTTTTTTTTATACTTCATTTAGTTAAGTTAGATGATTAATTTTTATAGTATTTAACTCAATGTTGATTAATTACAAATCCCTTCTGCTTTTCAAACTCTTTTATATGATTTTTAGTGATTATCCAAGAAGCAAAACGATTTCTAATAGATAATTTTAAAATTTGAGATGATATATGAAAATTGGTATTGATAGAAATCTTAGCCTAAACTGAAGGATCAGTGTTAATAAACTCAATCTGAGCTGGAGAATTAGTGTTAATAGATATTTCAGCTTCAGCTTGAGCTAAAAAATCAGAAAGTAGTAAAGAAACAATAGATGAAGATATAAAATTATCTTTTATTGAAATTATTAGAAGAATAGGTGATAGAACCATTAAAGGAATAAGTGATAGAACTATTAGAAGAATAAGTGATAGAATCATTGGAGGAATAAGTAGTAGAACCGTTAAAAAACTTGTATTAGAATTGAAATTATTAGAAGAGATATTATAGAGGTTGAGTTGACATTTTCAGTAACATTATCAAAAACTTCAAATTTTAAACCAGTAACAGGTGTCAGAGAATGTATAATTTCTTTAGAAATTTTCATTCCTGAAACAAAAAAAAGGTCTTCAGAAAAAACTTCAAAAGCTATAGAATATAATTGAGTTAGTAAAAAATTTACAAGTATTATAACAAAGATAAATAAACTAACCTTTATCAGCTTCTTCTTTATTCATAGCTTTCGTAAAGTTAAAACTATCAATTATACATTATTTCGAAAGATTATTAAAAATGAAATTGAAAACAAAAAGCAAAAGAATGTTTATAATAAAAAAAATGACTTGGACTAGTAAAAGAATAATTAAAGAGAAGCAAATTTGTATCATAAAAATAACCCACTTCAATATTTACACTATATCATCATATAAGTATTCTATTCTATAACAAAGGATTATCATACTAACAAAATTTTAATTTTAAAATACAGGAATACAAAATATAAAATATGTTAAAATTACATGACATATTCAATAATATTTTTTATAAAAATATGTATTAATATAAATATTATATCATGTAATTAAATAGGATGCGGTATCACTGTAGGAAGCGTTAAATAAATTTACTCTTTATCAAAATTATAGATATATATTTATGGTTAATTTTTAGAATTTATATAATTATTTTAATAAATTGATATTTATATAATTTATATTAATAAAAAAATATATATATAGGTAAAAATTTATAAATATAAATAATAAATAAGATATTTCATAATTATAATAAATAATCTAAAATTTTAGTATTTTTAAAAAATAATTATTAATAATTAGAAATTATAAACTATTTAATTAATTTATCTTATTACTAAAAAAAATAAGTTTATATTTTTTTGATTTAAATATAATAAAAAAGATTTTGAAGTATTAATAATTATTTTTTTAAAAAAGTTAAAATCATAAAAAAGATCTAAAGTTATCAAATAACTTCTTTAAAAAGAGAAAGATTATACATATAAGAATATTACCAAATAGAATGAATTATTATAAATATTATAAATAGTTAATTTTATATTTTCTAAATAATTTTAAGTTTTTTTAATTAAAAAAAATTATATTACTTTATTACTCAAAAAAATAATAAAATTTCTTATAGTATTAATTTTAAATTGATTAATTAAATAAAAAAAAATTTAGATAAAAAATAATTTATTTATTAAATTAAAATATAAATTTATTTTTTTTATTATATAAAATTAAAAACTTTTCTGGTTATTTTTTTTATTTTCTTTAAATTTCTATTTTTTAACTTATCAAATAGTTAATTTATAAAAAAAATTTAATATCTTATAAAATATATTTTTAATAAATTTTTTATTATTTTTTTTATAAAAAAAAAAAATTATTAATTAATTATTATAAAAAATAATGATATTAAATTAAGTTTATATTTTTCTATTATTATTCTAAAGTTTTAATTGAACTAGTTCTTTAAATATAAATTTATTTTAATAAATATTTAAATATACCAAGAAATACTAGAATATAAAATCCTATATCTTTTAATATTACAAAATATTTTTTAATTAATACAAATACATATTTTTATAAAATAAATAGAATTTATAATATAAAAAAAAAAGAATAAGAAATTTTAAATTTATTAATTCAAATATATTTTTAAGAAAATATAAAGTTTAAAAAAGTTATATTTATTTAAAATAATTGAATTATAAAAATTGTAAAAAAACTGATTATTTTAAAATATAAAATAATAAAAATCTTAATAGATATAATTAAAGTTACTAAGCAAAACCTAAAAGTTTTACAAATCATCTAAATGGTAAAAGATAAAATTTAGTAAAATTATATGAAAAATTTTGTAAAATTTTAAAAAAAATAAAATTATATCAAAGTTTATAAAAATATGAACTATATTAAAACTTTAATAAAAACTAAAGTTAGATATTTAACTAAATCTAAAATGAGTTATATAAGCAATTTTAAATATAAAAACTATCAATTTTATTATAATATTATAAAGAATTAAAATTATATTAATAGTACTAATACATTTAAAAGTTGAATTTGAATACAAGAAGACAGAATATAAAAGAAAACAGAAAATAAAAACAGAAAAATAGGAACAGAAAATGAAAATATAAATAGAAATATAACTAAAATTTAGTAGAAGAATTATAATAGTTAACTTATTATTAGAATGGTTAGCTTATCATATAATATTTTCATTATAAATATTTAAGAAATTTGAGACAGACAATAATGATCAGCAAATTAAGTAGTATAATTAGAAACTCTTTGTATTAATTTATTTTTTTAATAAAATTACCTTTATACTAAATAATTATTATTTATATACTTTAAGAAACTAATAGTTTAGAGACAAGTTTAATAAACTGAAAGGAATAATATAGTTCATTTTAATTCTAAATATGTTTATTAATTTATATCTTATTATTTAATATCTTTAAGATTAATATGTAATATTTTATATTAAATAAATTAAGAGTAGCAACATATAAATTTATCATTATTTATTTGTATTAAATTTTTAATTCATATTTTTACAAATACATTATTATTATTATTAAATTTATTATAATTAGTATTTTATTTTTAATATCTACAAATTTTTAATATAAATTCAACTTATAATTATAATGATATATAATAAGATTCATTTATAAATAAAAAAAAAATTATTTAAAAATCTAATATAATTACAATTAAAAATAATTATATTCTCTTTTTCTTCTTTTATTTTACATTTTTTATCTCAATTGTCTATAAGTATATTTCCCATATTTTTATTTCTAGTAGTTAAAATATTATTATTATTATTTATAAAATTTAAATTATAATTTCTTTTTCATTGCTTTTATTTTCAGAATTTTCTGATTCATATATAAAATCTAAATAATTGTTTAATATTTTATTAATTTTTAGAACTAATATTTTTTAAGCATATATATATATATACACTACTCTAAAATAAGTATTTGGACACCAAAAAATTTATAATTTTTTTTAAATTTAATAACTTTGAGCTAACAATATTGTTAATAATTTCTTTCTATCCTATCTAGAATATTATTCTTCAAATTTTTTATAAATGCATTAAGAATTTTTTTTTATAAAACAATAAAATACAATCTTTGACTTTGATTAATCTTAGAATATATAAATACGAATATCTTATA